GGCAAAAAGAGGGATCCTGTGGTAAGCTCAGTTCTGCATCTTGACTGTGGTGGTGGATGAATTTACACATGTGATAAAATTGTACAGAATTAATTACACACACATAGAGGATGGAGGAGAGAGAAATGAGTACAAGCAAAACTGGAAATCTCAATAAGATGGGTGGGGTTATATCAATGCTAGGATCCTGGTTGTGATATTGCACCGTAGCTTTGGGAATTGTTACCACTGGGGAAAACTGGGAAAAGGGTGGGTACACAGGATCTCCGTGCATTATTATTTTTACAACTGCATGTGAATCTATGATTATCTCAAAACACTTAAATATATATATTTTTAAATGTGTGAATGCTCCTGAGCTACATATTTAAAAAAAAAAAAAAAGTACAATTCTCTTAAGAACGAAAAGGCCAAGGGGCAGAAGGTTATTTCCTAAATTTTAAGAAACCACCTAGTTCACAAGTGCCACCTCCTCACTTTGCTGTCAGCGGGTGATGTGCTCTGCAGTGCTGGAATTGAGAGTTCGAGAGGGTGATACCAGTCCTGGCCTCTCGGTGTTCAAGTGTGTGTTTAGGTGGGCGTTGGTGTGAGAACGAGACAGAGAAACCGGGAGCAAGAGCGAGAGCTTTGCCTCTCCTACTGTCAGGAAGGGTGGCCGGCTGATGGAGGTGCTGTGCAGAAAGCCGGGGAAGGGCTTAAAGAGAGTACTGGCGCCTCGGGAACGCCCTCCTGCTGCACCCTACAGGAGGTTGTGGGCGGGGGCTCAATAACCCCGATGCAGTGCTTGAACCCCACGATCCAGAAGGAAAGGTGAGCAGGGGACCCGGGCGGGAGGTGAGGCCTCCCGGCAGTAGCCCTCAAGCGTGCTGGGCAGACCGGCTCGCAGAGGCGGCGCCTGGTCTTGGATGCTGCAGCAGAGACGCCAAGGAGACTGAATGCAGGGAGCGAGGCGTAGCGGCCGCGGAGGGTGGGGCCGCCCGGAAATCCCGGCGGCGCCAGCCTGGTAGCATCTGCAGGCCGGGGGCGCGCACACGAGGGGCACGTGGGTGTGGAGGAACCGGCGCCGCGGGGCCTCCTTCCTGCAGCGCCGCGGCGGCCGAGTGCTGGCGCTGGAGGAACGGCGAGTGAGGTGTCTGCCCCGCGCAGGCGGTACTCGCAGCCCCAGCTTCGCACCCAGCAGACGGGGCCAAGGACGGGGACCGTGGCTCAGCGCCTGGAGGCGCTCTCCACGCGCGTCTCTTCCCAGATGCCGGGGCGTGAAGCCGGGCGGCTTTGTCCAGAGATGTCTGGGGATGTGGGAAGGGGAAGAAGAGGTTTCCCAACTGGCCAAACCCTGGCGTGGGGGAAAGACTGAGGGGGTCATTGACCCGTGGGAGCGCCCTGAGGCTTCGAAGGAACGGCGCCCGCAGCCCAGCTGGGGAGAATGGTGTTGGGCACCGGCGGGGCCAGCGGGTTCCACGTGGGTGGACCCCGAGCTGAGGGCAGCGGTAGGGTCGCGGAATCGCGGACGTGTGCGCTCCCCTACACCAGCACAAGGACACCTGCACGTGAACCCCGGCTTCCACCCTCTCCTGGCGAGGTCGGCGCCGGGAGCGCGCAGGGGAGGGACGGCGGCGGAGTGCGGGGTTTGGCGGGGAAAGTGGGTGAGGTGTGGCCGCGGGGGAGGGGGCGAAGGCACTAGAAGGCTGCGGTCGCGCGGTCGCTGCTGTTCCCACCGTCGGCGCGGGGCGCGGAGGGGGCGAAGAGGTGTCTGCCAGTCGTACTGCGGTCCCTGCCCGCGTTAACCTGCCCTAGGGGTGAAAGGAAAAGGAAAAGGGTCATGTAAAAGCGCGAGGGCCGGCAGAGACTCTTGCTGGTTCCTGCAGGCGCGGAGGGATGTGGCCGCGGGGACCTGGAGTTTAGAGGGCAACGCTGAGTGTCGTAATGCGGGAGATGACCCCGGGCGCAGCGGAGCTTCCACTTGGTTAGAGCTCCAGAGAACGTGGCTCCAGAAGAGGAGCTTCCTGCGGTGTACTAAACCTAGCATTGACCCCCTCCCACTCAGCTCCCACAACCTCCAGGGTCCTAGCGGAGTCATTTAAGCGCTCAGTACTACCAGCTTCATTTTAGATAAAAGCCAAGACCAGTTCTGCATTTGTTAACCGCCTTGTCCTCAAGTCACCACGGCGCAGCTTTTCACAGCTCTAATGCGTGGTCACTCCAAGCCCACAGCGAGTTGCTTGTGTCCTCGGCTTCTGCTCCACAAACCTCGAACGATGCCACCGGAGGACGCTGAAGGCAAAAGCTCGCTGGGCCGGGCGCCTGCAAGACTGCGGCGCTTGCAAAGCCTCCGCAGGAGCCGAGAGCGGACGAAGCTCGTGACCCCCTCCCGAGGCAAGCGGCTCGGCCCTGCGGCGACACTTGGTCAGTGTCACTCTGTCCCTACCGGTGTCGAGTATTTTCTCAACAGAACGTGACCCCGTAGACGGATGAACTCGGAATCAGGAAAACCCGCCTGCCCCTTGTCTAGTCTCTCTGCCCCCTACACCTCTGCCCTTCACTACGGACGGCGCAGTGCGCGCACCGGGACCTCCGCGGCACCTTTGCCCGCAGCTCCCCATTCCCAAGGCAGCCGGAGAAGGGCCCTTCCGAGTTACCTGTCTCCCATCAGCAGCCACACCGGTCGGTTCCCCTCGAACCGCTCCCCAAGGGTAAAGTCCCTGAAAGTCCGAGGCTCCTGTGCCACGCACCCTCCCCCCTGCGGGGAGACCCCGCTTGTGCGTGTGTGTGCCACGCGTTTAATCGCACAGAGTAATTCCCAGACGTGCAAGACAAGGCATTTCAAGCAAAGATGGTCCAGAGTTGAAGTTAGAAAGCACATCTCGAGGCGCTGAGCCTGTTCTCGCCGTCTGTTTCGGTCTCTGGGGCGTCGCATCCAGGTTTTTAACTCTGAACCCCTGCCAGATCCGCTCGGAAATTAGCTCTTCTGGCGGTGCAGCAACAGGTGGCCCCGTCGCCTCCCTTGTGCACCCGGAGGGACTGCACCCTCCTCTACTCCCGGCCCTTAGTCCTTGCGGGAGTAGGTAATGGCGAGGGAAGGGTGACAATGGGGACGAGAGAGGGGAGAAGGAAGTATATATTTTTTATTTTTAATTGTGAAATGGTCTGTCTGCGTGCTGTGCTCTGGGATTCTCTTGTCTCAGTCAACTTCCAATTTTAAGGGGACCCTAATGTTAAGATTAACACCTAGAAATGAAAACGTACCCACCTTCTTTATTACAAAGGTCTTTTGTTGTTTGTTTGTTTTTTAAAAAGTATCCCCCCAACCCCCACGGACTTATACTTTATGAGATTTCTCCGATCTTGGTGGTTTGGAGAAATGACGTGGGGGAGGAGAAGACGCAAGGGCAGCAGGGCGTCTACCAGGAAAATAAGATACTTACTAATGTAATAGGGCCGTTCCTTTTTACTTCAGATGCTCCCCCACCCCTTTGAGTTTCCTCAAAGTTTCTCTATCCAGAGTTTGTGCCCGAAGCTTTACGAATAAACTCCCTTTCCAGGTAAACCTCCTCGTCACTTGTCCTTTGCCCAGCGAATCGCAGGTACGATGGGTCAAGGACCCCCGGCTTCCATATTGTCTGAGTCACCTTCCAGTTGGAAAGGCCACCTGGGGCGAGGGACGTGTTGCCCGACTGGTCTAAATAAGGAAAAAATGAATACCAAAGGACCAAGGGCCTCTGTTCCTCCCCATTCCGCCACCACCACCACCGGTTCCCGGGCTCCGCTGAGTGCTGCGGCGGTCTTGGCTAGAAACTGCGTCTCCGCCCAAATCGAGTGCAAAATTCCCTTGGACAGAAGTTTAAAGGAATCCAGTGTAGAAACAGACTTCTCCATCCAATTTGGTTATAATCAATAATCATATAAGTATACCAACATAACCACCTAAGTAGAGAGCAGACGCCCAGATTCACGGTCCCCACGTGTTGCTGGAGTTGGCGCAGACGCGTCTGCGGGCAAAGCGGCGGACGTGACACCGCATTTTCTCCGAATTCCTGCCATCTAGGGTGGTGCCGCCCCGAGAGGGGGTCATGGGGAGGTGGGGTAATAGGCTGCAGAATCCACTTGCTCTGGGGGAGCACTAGGGTTCAGAGTAGAGCGCAACTCCGAGGGGCTCTCGTACAGCCCCAGTCTCCCACACCAGAAAAGCAATGCTCGTTATGGATGATTAATAGCCGAGTTTCTCCTGACCATGCGGCGCGTCCCTGCCGACACCACTAGCTTAGTTGTTTTAATTTGACCTTTATTAGCAACGTGCTCCCCGAGGCTGCGAATTGGATTCGCACCACGGTAACCGCCCTCTCCCCTTCCACCCCTCCTGCTTCCTGGGGAGGATCAGAGACTGCAGCTCCCGCGACGCCTCCTCCTCCTGCGCAGGGAGCAGGCCTGAGTTCCTCCGCGTTACCACCTGGGAGCCCTCAGGCATCCCGGGGCCTGGTCTGAGGGTCTTCGAGCCGTGGAGCTGGGCGGTGTCTGCAGTGCACCGCCGTGAGTTTCTCTCGGGCACAATGTGCTGGTGTGCAAAGAGGAGGAAAGAAAAAAAACCCAACACCACTCTTAAGTGGCACTGGCATCTAGGAAGTGGCGGTGGTCTACACTGAGCGTGCCCTTGCCTGGAGGTGTAGGGGGCGGTTACTGCAGCTGAGGGGAGGGTACTGCGGCCAAGAGCAGGGCGGGAGGACAGTCAAGGCCGGCTGGCCGCGTGGGAGCCTTTCCTCTCCGGGTTCAGCGGCCGGCATCACTGGCACTGCGGCTAAAGGGACTGGTAGGCTCTCCTGCACCCCGCGTGCTCCTCCGCCTTCTCTGTGTCCCCCGGCTTTTCCAGGAGGAAGATGGGGTGCCCATCGCGAATGGGGCGCGCCGGGCAGCCAGGCCGGGCGGTCACGTGTCCCCCCTCCCCCGCTACTGCGGCGGGAGTTCCAATCAGAGCGCGCCAGGGGGCTCCTCCCGGGCAGGAACCACCCGGCTCGGCGGCGGAGGGTGGGCCGCCGTCACCTGACCGCCCGCCCCCGCCCCCCGCGAGTAAGGGGCGGTGGTAGCGTCTGCTCGGTTACAAATGGCCCCTCCCGCCCGGCTCGCCCGCTCGCTCGGGCTCGGCGCGGACCCGCCTGGGCGTGCTCGACCCGCCTGGGCGTGCTCCTCCCGCCGGCTCCAGGCGTCCCACCGCCCTGACTCCTGAGGGCGCGCCGGGCACCCAGCGCGGAGGCTCGCCCGCGGAGGTCGCCAAGGAAGTCTGGACCGCCTAGGCGTGTGGCTCGTCTACAGGCAGGTGAGCGTGCACCGCAGGCGTGGGATGCTGCGGGGACAGTGCGGGGGACGTGTGGGGTCCTCAGATGCGGACGCGAATCCGTGCGATGCCGAGGTCAAGTTTGCAGAGCTAGTACGAGGTGTCCGTCTCCTCGGCCTCCTCTTTGATGCGCCCGCGGGTTGGGGACTCGGACCAAAGCTTCGATTTGGGGGAAGGGCTTCAGGACATTCTTGCCTTGAGATACTTGACAAAGGTTGAAAAGACACATCAGGTGGGAGCTTGTAGCTGCTGCTGATGGGATGAGACAGGTGCAGTCGAGTGTGCTTGCATATGTGTGTGGCTCCTGGTAAGGGTCAGCTCGAGATGGGGAGAAGCCTCTGCGACGGGTCATTCTGTCCCCAAGGGCCACTTAGATGCCGGAGACTGAAATTGAGCGGCTCTGAGGTGGTCACTAGATGTTAGGGCAGCAAACCAGTGACCTCCAGTATTTCTGATATGACCTGTAGTAGTAGCAGGAGTGCAGATGGTTCAGTAAAGAGTGTGTGAGGTTTTAAGGCACCCAGAAAACATTCCTCTTACCTTCTAACTTCTTGGCAGAAATTAGTATTAAAAGTGCTGAATCATGCAAAAAGATGAGGAAAATAATTCATGTTTTGGTAAAGTTCTCCAAAGCTAGTAATATCTGCATTTTTGAATGAATGCTTTAAATTTATGATGTAGGCACCAGGTATTTAAAATCATATTTTAAGACTGTGCCCTTGGCTTTATGGCCATGGGTTGCTTTTCTTTCTTTATGATGAATTGTATCCAATCATTACTTCTTACACTTTCACTACCCTCAAAACAAAACCCTGAAGAAAAACCCCCAAGACATGGGTTTTTTAATTCTTATTATATTTTTGGTGTGTTCATGATTGTAAAGGGAGTGGAGGTATCAGTCCTGGAAAATAGAAAATATCCTCCTCTAATAAATGCAGTGATGGCCAATTTGATCAATCTGATTTGTCAAATGCCACTGAAGGGAATGTCAAGCTGGTAACATGCAGACTGGAGAAAAAATGGAACAGGAGTTGCCCATTGAGGAAGAAATAAGCCCTTATCTGATTGCACTCAGTGAAGGAGCTGGAGAGTAGTGCTTCCACATTGGAAGCTGAGTCCTTGTTGGTGGAGGTGGAGGGGTGCAGTTTTTGATGCAAGTTCTGAGGTCAGACACCAAGTAACATAAAGATGAATTAAAAAAAAAAATCAGAGTCAGGATTAGTAAAATGGGTGTGTCCAGCAACAGCCCTTGCCCATTTACTCTGGGCTGCACTGTCTGAAATGCTCAGTGGCCTGCTGACTCATAAGGGAACCAGCATGGCTTAGCAAGATTGGATTTTACTTGTAGACTCTAAAGAACTGTACTTGTTAAAAAAAAAAAAAATTGAAAAGCATGATCAGAGATATCTATAATAGAGAAGCTAATGTCTCCTTCTCACATCTCTTCTTCAGGGAGGTTTCTCCCCGATTCCTTGACTTGTCACCTTCATTTCAATACCTGTCATCCATGCTTGTGCACAGCATATTTGGTTTGACACAAAGGTTTTAATCTGAATCTTAACATGAGAAACAGTGGTACTCTTAGCTGCATGATTATTTCAAAGGTATTTTTGAAGGATACTGAAAAACTAGAATATGAACGATTAATTGAGTTTTCTTTACAGCACAGACTCCCTTAACATTGCATGCAAGACCAGGGAGCCCCACCCTGTTTCTGAGCATCTGCATGAAAGACCAGGAAAGGAATTCGACAATTGCAGTGGTGCAGGGAGAGGCAGCTTCTAGGCTTGGGCATTACCTTTATTTAAATAATTACTAACAATTTTGGAGGGTAGGCTTTAATCCATAGGCAGATTTTGAAAAGCACAGTGTTATTTCTTTTCACCTGTCAGCTTGTTAAAATGTCCATTTAACTTTGAGAGCTTGATTTTGTTAGAAAATGGATACAGATCGAGAGCTTCTAAATTTTAAGATCCTAGGGCTAAAAGGCATGATTGGAAGGACATATTAAAGCATACAGCGAAGCCATAAAGAGTTATTTTTGCTTTGATAGTCTAATAAAATTTCTTTATAAAACTAAGTTTTTTAGAAGAGAGGGACTCCTTTTTAGGCAATGCATGGAATAAATCAGCTTGTGCAATAGACCAGCACCTGGCATCTCAGTTTGAATAGAGATGCGTAATTGGAGCAAGAAACAGATGAATGAGCTTACCTTTTACTGCTTGGTCCTTCAAACAGAACCCAGTCATGTCACATCAGATCAGAGGAAGGCCATTTCTACAACATGGCAAGGAGATTTCAAATCTATGGGAAATAAAATGTTTTGAGCTGCTCTGAAGAAAGATGCATTATAAATTTACAATTCGTTATTATAGTTACACTTATCCGCATCGTCTACTGCAGATAGTGGGTCTGACCAAGAAGAAGAGAGATACAAAGACTTTTTTTCTTTCCTTTTTATAAAGACAAAAATTTTAAAAAGATGTCTACTTGGTGTTACCATCCATTTTTTAACGTAAATATACCATTTACAGAAGAGAAAATGATACATTTTCTCCTGATGGCTAGAGTGAATTAATGCGTTTTCACATCTGAATGTAGTGACCACTTAGTATCTCAACAGTTCTTCCAGTCTAATGTGATACTCTAGGTGAAAATTGCAGGTTCTGTTCTGAACTTACAGCCTTAAGTTCAAAGCAGCTGAAACTACCTTCTGCTTTTTTCCTTTTTTTTTCCCTTATATTATCTTTCCCCTCTTTTAAATCCACAACCTACACCTACAAATCCTAGCACCTTGAAGGCTTTGAGAGTCACCAGGAACACAATCAGGTAAATTGCCTGTGATTGCGGGTCATTCTAAAATCAAAATAGATTTCAGCGGCGGCTTCAAGAACCAAACGTCTTTGGTGCTTTGCTCAGATGCCGGCGCCCTAGCAGCCTGCTTTCAAAGAGGGTCTTTTCCTTAGATATGCAGTGATTATTTTGTGGAAATTAGCTCTACCCACTTGCACAGTTAATTGCAGTGTGAGAAGGTTCCAGAACAGTACCTCCTTGAGTTCGACAGTAAATATGCTCACATCATTGTATGTGGAGCATTCCAGAACACCCACCTCCCAGCGAAGTAAATGTGCTGGCTGAATAAACACCTGGGCTGCTTTAGCCCAAAATTGCCAACAAGTCTCATGTTTTACAACAAATGATTGTTTAAATGTACACTAAGCCTTTTTAGGACACTGGAGAGCCTTGTAGCATGGAAAGGGGTATCTGATGTCTGACTTCTTTTAGAGCTGGCCTCCAAAAATCTTTTTCCATTCGAGGATGTGAGGTTATGAGTGTTTTGCCAGGAATTTGAAGAAAATTGTTTGTTCACCCACTTATTACAAGGAATTGTAGAGTTAGTAACATTTTTGGCTTTAAGTATTTAAAAATTAATCATGTTTTTGGGTGTGTGTTGGTTTGAGGCAATAGAGAGTATCCTTTAGAAAAAAACATTTGGAAATTGCTGCTCCTTTAAAATTATGTGACATTAAACACTTGTACATACATCTCTGCAAAATTCAAGAAATGTGCTTTGGTGTGCGCATTGTGCCACATACACGTGCATCCTACACAAACTGGAATTCCTATTTAGGATTGTTTAACTCTTCATTTTGAGGAGACTTGGGTAGTGGGGAAGGTTTTTGTTTATTTCTTTCCTGGTAGGAGTGGTCTCTGAATCTGCTGTGCTTAGGTATCTTAGTAGGTAAGACCATCAAGAAAAGACAGTGAATGAATAGTTCTTATAAGTACATAAAGTACATTTTTTTTTTTTTTTGCAGTATGTCATTGTTTATGTCACTAATTTAAAAGTATTCCAGCTCTGGGTTTTATAACTAAAAATACGAGAAACAGTTTTTGTTCAGATGTAGCTCAAGATGCATCTCTCCCTTGTTCAAATTACTATACATCCTCTTTGCTTCTCATGGAATTTGGAAACCATCCCAGCTGCTAATGATCTAAACATTTTGGTCTTACAGGTGTTCTTTCGATCACAATGGATAGTGACTCTTCTCTTCTGCCTGAGTGGTTCAAAATGTAAGTTCAGTAAACTAAATAATTAAATATTTATTTATTTATTTATTTATTTGATTTATTTTGAGATGGAGTCTTGCTCTGTCACCAGGCTGGAGTGCAGTTGCACGATCTTGGCCCACTGCAACCTCTGCCTCCCAGATTCAGGCAATTCTCCTGCCTCAGCCTCCTGAGTAGCTGGGATTACAGGCACTACTCAGGCGCTACTGAACATCTGTGTAGATCAGTTCTTCCCATTTTTCATTCCTTCTACCTAGGACTCTAGCTTCATAAATAAGAATCTAGAAGGAAGTGGTATACCCTTGGGTGGGGGACGAGGGGAGCCTAGCCTAGATGGACATTTATTCACTACCCAGCAGTGTAACTTTATATGACTGCAATCATAGCCATTGATTCCTGCACAGCCCCCACTGCCCCCATGTTAGTTTCATGGCAATAGAACATGAATCTTTGGTGTCTGGGTAAGGCTGAATTGACACTTCCCCAGATGTCATATGTTTCTGTGTGGCCCTGCCTGTTCTAATCTCTTGGTTCAAGCAGATGGCTTCTGATATGTAGTCACATCCTGGCCCAGGAATAGAGGTTTTTTTGGCCAGGGGTGGGGGGGCAGATGAAATCCTACGGCTACTGTCAAGCTACCTTTCCTACCTAATACATATTAACCAAAATGCTGTAGCCCAGCTGATGATGCTTATGCCGTTAGGATCTGGTACACGTAAATTATGAAATGGAAAGTATTAAAGTGTATGGGAAGCCATTGCTGTTTCACATAGAGTTTGAATGGTGAGGGATTTTACAGATTTCCCAGGACTGGATTCACCTCTTCCATTTGAAGGATATCAAGTATTTCCAAGTATGGCTGTTTAAAAAGTGAACTCTCAGTCTCTGAAAGGAACCCATGGCTGGCTTAGACCCTCCCTGCCTCTTTAGAGATCTCAATATGTGATTTAAGACATTTCTGAGAACTCAGGCATTCAATGCGTTTCACCAGTGTCAGGCTCTAGAAAGCTGATTTTTATTAGGAGAAACATCTCTTCAACCTTCTCTTATCCCTTGCTTTTCTGCCTTCCTGTCTGTGCTCTCTTGCCCAAAACATGGATTTTCATGTAATTCAGTTCACTAAATATCACTTCCGTTTTTGTTTCTCTGCAGAGTTTATTGCTAGAGCTGCTAATAGACTTTCAGTACAAATAGTATATTGATCACTTGAAATCTCATTTGAGCTTGACTGAATATACATAATGGGGTGTCAATCGGGGAAAAATCTCATAATAAATGGCAGGTGACTTATATTCATGAGCAAAAATGTCTTGGGCAGCACACAAAATATCATGTTTACTGTAGCATGACGGACTGATTTTGCTCGTCTCCATCACATTCATCTGGTGGGTGTTTAATAGCAAAGGCAAGGTTAGAATACCAAGATCCTGGACCCTTTCTTTCTTTGTTTATGTGGGAAACATTTTAGTACACTCTATACAGTATAAGCATTTTCTAGAACTACAGCCAGCAAAAAAAATCTTTTCTACCTGAGAACTTCAGAAATTGCAAACAAATCTGTTTAAGTTGGTGTATATTTAAAATCAGCTACTGATTTATGCAGTCCATATTTTTTAAATTTTTACCATGTGTGTATCAGTGCATGCACTCACTGTATGCAAATATCATTTTCAGTGTGTATATGGGAGAGCACAGTATATTTAGAGAAAAGTCTGCTTTACATAAATTATTTTTAAGAACAACTGAGCAGAGGAGTAGCCATGCGTTAGGAAAACCAAATCTTTTTTTTTTTTAAGTTTCCCATTGAATGATAAATGAAGGAATCTTTCTTTTAGAGTTTTGTATGTAATTCTTTAAAACCAATTTTCCTGATAGAGCAGTAGTTATGATGGTAGATATGTCTGGGAAAGTGATATTTTGTGTTACATTATTATTATTATTTTTGAGATGCTCTGTTACCCGGCTGGAGTGTGGTAGGCAATCTCGGCTCACTGCAACCTCCGCCTCCCAGGTTCAAGTCATTCTCCTGCCTCAGCCTCCTGAGTAGCTGGGACTACAGGCACACACTACTACGCCAGGCTAATTTTTGTATTTTTAGTAGAGACAGAATTTCACCACGTTGACTCTGCTGGTCTCGAACTCCTGACCTCATGATCTGCCCATCTCAGCCCCGCAAAGTGCTGGGATTACAGCTGGGTTACTTTATATAGCTGACTTCATTGTGGCTGATTGTCTGAGAACATGGGGTATTGGTATCTAGTGTATTAGCTGTAACCCTGCTTCATGCCATGGCAGTGTGAGGTACATCATATTTTTCCCAGTCTGCTAGATGGGGTGCAGCTCAGCTTCCATCAGGAATTTGTCATCTCCTGTAAATGAAGTCACTGGCTCTTTGCTAACAAGTTTCTAATTTGTTTTTTTTTTTTTACAGTCAAAAAAATAATAATCATACCCTCGACAAATGTCTCCTTCAGTCCTTGTGCAATATTCAAGATTTTAAAAAGTGTATTATATCACAGTTTTCACCATTTTAGCAGGTCATATATGATAGCCAGAGGAATCTGCTTACCACGGAGAATATGCAAAATAGGACAAGTGACATTATTAAGATATAAAAGACGTGACGTCAAGCCCTGATCATATGTACTGTTTTTCCATAGCAAGATCTTTTGCCATTTTCATCTATTTTACCGAAATGCTTCTGATCTGTTTTTTAGGATTTTTGATTAGCAGTAAGAGAGAATGTAAAGTATGCTGAGAAATGGAATTATTTAAGAACTAACCAGTGCAGAGGTTTAACAATGTATAATTACACGAGTGCTACGTATTTTAGTAATATCTTCTATAAGTAAAATCTTATATCCATATGTTTCCTTATATATGTACAAATAGTTCTGTACCGATTAGAAACTATTTGTAGTATGTGGCTTTTTGCACAAAGAGGCAATCAAATTTGATAGCTTAAGCTTGGGAAATTATGCTTCTGAGATTTTAGCAGAAGCTAGGTGATACTAGAACTTTAAACTCAGGAATTAGTTGTTTGAATATGCTTCATTAATTTTAACCTACAGAGAAATGTATGCCTGCAAATGTTAAAACTGGGACTTATTGGATGTCACCTATAAATGGGAAAAATTAAATCCCAGGAAAAGAAAATCAGAAAGAAAAATTTCCAGAGAAATTTGAATCTGGAACCTGCATTTATAGGCCTTGCTGTTGTCTTAAATTTTGGATAGTTTTACTAATTTATTTTGCTTAACTGAAAGAAAGAGTAACATGAACTAAGCAGAAGTTACATGAACTATTTTCTGATGAAAAGATATTAACATCTTTTGGAAATACCATATTCAGCTTGGTAATATAAATATTCAGTTTTAATAGATTGCCTTCTCACCAGTCCTTACCATCTTACAGAGATAATTTTTTTTTTTTTTTTTTGAAACAGAGTCTTGCTTTGTCACCCAGGCTAGAGTGTAGCAGTGTGATCTTGGCTCACTGCAACCTCCACCTCCTGGGATCAAGCAATTCTCGTTCCTTAGCCTCCCGAGTAGCTGGGACTACAGGCGTGTGCCACCAGGTCAGCTAATTTTTGTATTTTTAGTAGAGATGAGATTTTGCCATGTCAGCCAGGCCGGGCTTGAACTCCTGGCCTCAAGTGATCCACCCACCTCTGCTGGGATTATAGGCCTGAGCCCCCATGCCCAGCCCTTACAGTGAGACTATTTAAAGACAAATAGAAGAAGTTGAAGTACATATCTTTTACATATCTTATCAGTAGAATTAAAAACAACATCCATATACTCACCAAGTTCTTGGTAAGACTTTTAAATCGTTAAAAAAAATTAAATATAAATTTGGAAAATAGAGTTGAATTTATAGTGAATTCATAGAAACAGACATTATATTAAATAATTCCTAAGGTTTGATTTTTATGTTTGCCAAAGCAAGACTAGGAAATAACTGGAACTCCTGCATATTTTTTTTTTTTTTTGCCACTGCTGACATTTTCAGAACCAAAGAATCAGAGCTCTCTTCACTAGATGCGGCATTTTTAAAGTTATGTTCATTTAATAGAAGCACAGCAGTGGGACTACTTTTTCTTCCAACAGTGATTTAAATAAGAACTAGGCGATGTCATGGATTAAGGATAATAGGCTTTTTAAAAAATTGTATTGTTTTTCCCTTTAATGAAAAACACATCTGAGTAAAGAAAAATTGCAATGAACTAATTCAGTTATTAGTGAAGTAGTAATTTGGTATATATTACTTTTAATAATTTAGCTTTATATTTACTGCAAAGTTTATATTCAGGTTTAATTGCTTGCTAAGACAAAATCAACAAGATTATTTTCTTACGCCTTGTTTTATGTAAGTTAGTTTCACTAAGGGAAATATTATAACACAGTAAAAACCTTTAGTGCACCTCCATGTGCCTTTCAAGAATATATATTGTCTGTATAAGAGGAGAATAACTTAGGGGTCATGTTTATTGATATAGTAATATTATATATGTATATATTACACACATACAATATATAAGAATAACATATTTATCCCAAGTATATTGTAATGTTATACTTATTGTACTTAAATGTATATGCCATTTCAAATGAGCCTAAACCATTCTCATTTCACTAGAAACCCAATATTTAGACATGATCTCATGCCCTATGACATTAAAGAAGACAGGCTTGACTATTTCCCCTGCTTAGTTTTGGTTTGACGTACGTGCTGTGGCAATGACAAAAGTTATTTTCTTAATGATAGGCAGATCCGCCATGATTGTGTAGGAAGTTGGTAGAAAAGTAATGGGTGGTAGTTTTTTTGTTGTTGGTTCTGGTTTTGGGATATGCATGTAGGTACATTTGAAGGAGTGCAATTCTAATTTTTAAAAATCAGAAAATCCAGTGGGAACGTTGATCCTATTTCCAGTTCAGCTTCTTCGTCCATCTTGCTGTGGTCTTGGCCTCCTTCAGATTGTGCTTTGGTCACACTGACCTGTG